TCTACTAACCGCCGTATCCGCTGCGCAGGCTATCTAACTACCCCGTCTCCTGCAGGTATCCTTGTCCTACTACCGTCCGGTCTCCCTGCAGTATACTACTCAAACCCGTCTCTCCTAGCAGGGTATACTACGTCTACTACCGCGTATCCCTGGCAGGTAGTCTACTACCGTCTCTCTGCAGGTATCTACGTACAACCCGTCTCTACCCGCGAGTATCTACTACCCGTCTCCTGCAGGTATCTACGTCTACTACACCCGTCTCCCTGAACAGGATCCTACTACCGTCCCGTCTCCCATTTGGCCAAAGGTATCTCGTCCTACTTAACCGGCGACTCGTATCCCTGCAGGTATCTACTACCGCCGTCTCCCTGCAGGTATCTACGTCATACTAACCGCCCGTCTCGCCTGCAGGTATGCGTACGTTAACTAACCCGTCTCCCGTGCAGGTATTCTACCGTCTACTACCGCCGTCTTCCCTGCAGGTATCTACGTCTACTAACCCGTCTCCGCTGCAGGTATCTTACGTCTACTACCCCCGTCTTCTGGCGAAGGTATCTTACGTGCTACTACCCGTCTCCCTGCAGGTATCTACGTCTACTTACCGTCTCGTTCCTGGCAGGTATCTGAACTACCCGTCTCGCCTGCAAGGTATCTACGTCTACTACCCCGTCTCCCTGCAGGTATCTACGTCTACACCTCGTCTCCCCCTGCAAGGGTATCTACGTCTACTACCCCGTCCTTCCGCTGCAGGTATCTACGTCTACTACCCCGTCTCCCCCTGCAGTATCTACACCGCCGTCTCTCGCAGGTATCTACGTCATACTAACCCCGTCCCCATGCAGGTATTACGTCTACGTACCCCGCTCCCTGCATGGTATCTCACACGTCTACTACCCCGGTCCTCCCTGCAGGTATCTACGTCTTACTACCCCGTATCGCCTGGCAGGTATCTACTACCCCGTGATCCCTGCAGGTAAAGAAAAAAAAGAGTCTTTACTACCCCGTCTTCCCTGCAGGGTATATACGTCTACTACCCCCGTCTCCCTGCAGGTACTACTACCCCCGTCTCCCTGGCAGGTTATCTAACGTCTACTACCTCGCGTCCTCCCTGCAGGTACTCTACGTCTAGCTATCCCCCCCCCCCCCCCGTCTCCCTGTAGGTATCTACCTTCTACTACTCGCCGTCCCCTGCAGGTATCTACGTCTATCTACCCCGTCTCCCTGCAAGGTATTACGTCTACTACCTTCGTCTCCCTGCAGGTTATCTCTACATCTAACTACCCGTCGTCCTCCCCTGCAGGTATCTAGCGTCTACTACGCCGCCTCCCGCTCAGTATCTACGTCTACTACCCCGCGTCTCCCTGCAGGTATCACGTCTACTACCTCGTCTCGCGCTCGCTGCACGTGGCGCACACGTGGACGTCCTGCTACGTCACGCTCGGCCTCATCACCGCCGCCGTCTCCGTGGCAACGTGCAGCTTCCTCGCCGTTTCCGTCGACCAGTACGTCGCCATCGTGCATCCGCTCGCGTACGTCGGCTTCGCCGGTAGACGACGCGCCGTCGCCGCCGTCGTCGGCATCTGGACCGGCGCCGTCGTCTTCGGCATGCTGCCGGCGGCCGGGTGGCGACGCGCGGTGCCGACTAAGTGCAGCATCTACGAGGTGCTGGACGTGCCGTATAGCGTGTTGCTAGTCAACCTGCAGTTCTACGTCACCGGTCCGCTTATCATCGTGCTCTACGTGCGAATACTCAACGTCGCCCTCAGTCACCTGCGCGCCATCAAGGCACAGGTAAGGCTCGTAATTAGTCTACAGGTAATGATGAAGTCTAAGCAGGTGAGGCTGCTAATTACTCTACAGGTGAGTTCTACGTCACTGGTCCGCTCATCGTCGTGATTTACGCTGCAATCGACTACGTGCAATCGATTCCCGTATCTGATCAACGTTAGGTCTCTCTTTTTCTTTCTTTCTCTTTCTCTCGCCTTTTTTCGCACGCTCTCCCTTTCTCTTCCTCTCTTTTTCTTTCTTTTTCTCTCGCCCTCTCTCTCTCTCTCGCGCGCTCTCTCTCTGTCTCGCTCTGTCTGTCTCGCGCGCGCTGTCTCTCTTTCTCTTTCTTTTGCAGCTGTCTTTCTCTCTCGCTCCCTCTCTCTCTCTCTATCTGTTTCGCGCGCCCTCTCTTTCTCCCTCTCCTCTCTCACTCTGTCTATCTTCTGTCTCTGTGTGTCTCTCTCTCCCCTTCTTCGTTCCAGTCCCTTGAACTGAGACGAATATTCGTTATGAGGTTATAAGATAACAATACTACGTTGTTCGCCTGTAGGTGGCGGCAGTGGCGGTAAACGATGACAAGTTGTCGTCTGCTAGCATGAAGAAAGAGTTGGACGTCGCCATTACTGTCTTCATCGCCGTCATAATGTTCCTCGTCAGCTGGATGCCTTTCGCTACGGTCGTACTCATCAACAAAGTGTTTCTCGGAGCAGAGGTACTGCTGCGGTATATGCAATAGCATATGTAGCATATACATGTAATAATAATAATAATAATAAAAATAATAATAATAATATGTATAATGTATTTATAATGTAGCTATGCCGCATGCAGTAGTGCTCCTAGTGTAGCTCCAACGGCGTAGCGCGTTGATCCGCCACAGACCTATGGCGGAGCGAAAGACAACGCAGGGTTAGTTATCGTACTTGATGTTGAACTGGAAATCTTTAGCTAGGGAAAGATATGGTCTCTAGGGGAGAGATGTATGTAGATTAGACTGACAGGGTGGGGTGGCATCTATGTAAGGCAAAGGGATGAATCATGGAAGATTAGTTGGTAAGAGATATGTATGTTAGACGCTTAAAGGCGAGGTGGGTTGGGATGCATACGGCGTTATTGAGACCGTCAAAGGAAGTGTGTTCGGTGAAGAAATACGACATGCATATGGTTGTGTTGGCTCAGGTGTCGGTGGGGGCCAGCGGAATTCTCTGTAAGGAGAGGAGGAGTGGGGAGGTACGTAAACGCGTGGGCCTATCTAAGACATCGTAACATCGTAAAACCGTAGTAGAAAAATATAATATAATTAACATATTATTCTAATGTATAATTAAATTAACATAATATAATTACGATATCCTGCTACCGGCGTTGTTGTAGGTCTATAGTACAGACATCGCGGGACCCATCGGCATCGCTAACTCATTCTACAACCCAATCATCTTCTACTTTCGTGACCGGAAGTTCCGGTTGTCCGTCTGGCGCAGCCTAGCCTGTAGATCGTCTGAGGAGGCCGTGGGAGATCACGTGATCCCGCTACGGAGTCACTACACTGCGATCAATGGGTATTAGCATATATATATATATATATATATATACACACACAAGTGTGTGTGCGTGTGCGTGTGCGTGCGTGCGTACGTACGTGTGTGCGTGCGTGCGTACGTGCGTGCGTGGGTGAGTCTCTCACTGGAAACCTATCAAGTTCAGATACAGGCAGACTTATTACCTCCGCCAAGGGGTTGGCAGGAGGTTATGTTTTCACCGGCGTGTGTTTGACTGTTTGTTGGTTTGTAGGTTTGTGGGTTTGTGTACAGCCTACCTGAAAAAGTTATGGGCGGATTGTCATAAAATTTTCAGGATAGGTCAGAAATCGCCTAACTTAGAATTGATGAGATTTTGGTGGTGATCCGGATCCAATTAATTAATTAATTAATTAATTAATAAAATTTTCAGGATAGGTCAGAAATCGCCTAACTTAGAATTGATGAGATTTTGGTGGTGATCCGGATCCAATTAATTAATTAATTAATTAATAAAATTTTCCACTTAATTAATTAATTAATAAAAATGTTCACTTAATTAATTAATTAATAAATAAAAATTTTCACAGTGAGACAATTCAGCTGTCTTGGCGGAGGTCTGCTCTCCGAGTGCTCTAGTTCTATATGTTAATGTTGGTAATTTTGTCACAAGCGTTTTGCGCGCGATTTGAGATGTGTTCGTGGTGTGTATTTATTTCGTTATTGTAGCGACTACGTAGATTCACACGCAAGCCTTCAGCATCAGCTAAACAGACAACCAGAAACAAGAAATTGTTAGACGTAAATATTTAATTTTAACGTTCTTCACGCACGTAAATTTTCAGCAATAAAATGAGTATTTGTATCATAAGTACTCGTAGTTCTGATAAATGTGTGGTTGTGTTACATCGTATATCACCATGACCATATCTATACCAGATAAGATCATGATAGCAACCATTGTGCCGATTTAAAAGCTAGCGAGGAAAGCTTTGTCACGTACGCTGCATATTCATACGCTCGTGCTGGGTAGAGACGGACGTTGAAAACCCGAATTAATATTCGAATCTTCATTTCCTCGTTGATTAAGCACGGTCTCGTCTCGTCTACTGCGGCAACGACGCATTTTCTTATTTCATTTCGATACATTCACGCATATTATTGCTGACGTTGTGTTTGTGTCACTGCAAAATATAGATGATATAAATTATGGACATAAATATTATTACGAGTACGGTATGTATTATTATCTCTTCATATATATGTAATTTTTTTTCTTCGTTTTTATTTTCTCTCGGCTTTATGCGTGCAATCATTTTTTTTATAACAGACAAGTATCGGTAAATTGATGCCGAGATGACATCGATATAAATCATCGACTAATTGACCATCGATCGATATTGGCAATCATCGATAAGCTGTTGGAAAACCTTTGCCAAATTTAATCCCTCCCAGGGGATAATGGGTGTGATGGAATGAGACGTGATGCGAGGCGATGTGACAGGATACGAGGCGATGGGAAAGAACGGGTTGGATTTGGGTGCGATAGGGTGGGATGCGACGCAATGCGATTAGATAAGCTAGGAACCTAAGAAAGATTCTCATCCAATTCTGTGCATCTGTCATGGCGGCCTTACATCCGGGAATCTACCACCGACATCCGGGTAACATTCGTTCCGAATTGTTGATAACACAACGGTCCGACATTGTCTCCCGCTAATCTACGGAGACATAGCTTCCACTCGAGCAGACGAGACCGAATACGTTCACGAAGAGAGTGGCCATCTCTACTCCCGTCAGCAGAGTTGAGCCCGTGAAGAATCGCAGCATCCCGCCCACCTGCGCCAACGCTTCCGGAACCTGCGCAGGTTAATTAGTAAATTAATCAATTAATTGTTTAATCGGTGCGCGCGACGTCGTTACGAGCAGAGCGGCGATGTTCGGGCGAATGTTGATTAGCTAAAGTAAATTGCAACATTATTACTACTACTATACTTCCTCGCTGAAATTATTTAGAATAAATGTGTGCGTTCAAACGCGTGTGCGGTCCTCACTTCAATAGCTCAAGTATTTAAAAGAGAAGCTATTTGCAGGTGAATTTACCATGATAGTGATTATAATCAACATTAATAAGATTCAGAATTAAACCGACTAATAATAATAATAATTAGAGGCAGTTCTCATGGTACGGGATATGATCTTGGTAATTGACATATGGTTACAGGAGACAGCTTGGAAGCCTGGTAGACGTCAGCGGTACGCTCTACTTCAATCCTTCATGAGATATACGTACGTGGAATCGCCAATATAAGTTCAATCTCACCCGAAACATGAAAAAGATTCGCGCATTGATATAAACTATATCACACATAATGAAACTACTGCAGTGCTGGTTTCACCTACCTCCATCACCGGCACCTCCTTGACTTGCGTCTGGGCGACGTCCATAAAATGAACCTCAACGCTTGCCAATCTGTAAGCGATAGAATGAAACGTAGGGCATCTACAAACTGGGTTTACACTACAGACTTCATGTTGGCGAATTGGCAAGTTGGACCAACTTCCTGACTATACAACCGACAATCGGCAGTGTAAACGCAAAGGTTGCGCGACCGATCGATAGCAACTAGTTGGGAAATTAGAACATGTTCTATTTTCGCCAACTCGGAGTTGGCGAATTGGGAAGTTGGTCTAACTTGCCAATTCGCCCAACTTGCTAATTCGCCAACATAAAGTCGTAGTGTAAACCCAGTTTAACGTTACGGCACACTAATCCAGTGTCTGCATCTCCTCGTAGCACTGGTAGATTCAGGAACGGGCCGACGTGGGGGTGGTGAGTGGGGCGATTGAGGAGAACCACTAGCGAGAAGGGTTTGTGAGTGCTGCGTAAACTTCATCAATGGGGTTCATGTCAGCCGCACGCGTCTGCGCTACCGACGGAAATCTCCAACCTCGTATAAGCGAATTAAAATGTTTTTCCCAAAAAATCTAGCGTTGACAGTGAGCTCTGCACGATACAACCCTGAGAATTTTCTGCCGATATGTATAGCATTGGCGAAGAGCGTTGTTGTGTAGTCTGATAGTTGCCGTGTGAGTTAGCCGCGTAACACCGGAGCGTCATGATTGCACGGTATCTAATTACAACTACTTACTGTTCTATAACAGGACCAAGTTCCGTAGTGTCGGTCAGATAATCCTGCAGAAAAAAAATAAAAATTTTAAAACTGTGCGTTTTCAACAGACGTGGTTGCGTGCGTGTGGTGTGTGCGAACGTGCGTGCTCATGCGCACGCGTGTGTTTGTGTACGTACGCGCGCGTGCGCGTGCGAGTGCGTGACACGATTTAGCTCGCATTATCACGTTTCCATTATTAGATGCGGGACACATTTTTGTTATACGCACACACTATTATTTTTGTTCTTGCATTTACGTGAAAATCATTCAAAGCTTTAGCAGTCACGTATTTGGGAATTCAAATTCAGACGTTAAATATGAAAAAACTCCTACCAGAACTATTGAATATAACGATAATTGTCGCGTTTTTACAGTAGTCATTCACTCTATATGCTCACCCGGTACATATCAGAAGGCCACTTCGTGGTGAACGTGTTTGAATCGTAACGGATTTCACTATAAACATAATATTTATCACATATATATATTTATTCGCAAAACCGAGATTTCTCATTATGTATGTGAAATCTACCTTATATCACGAGAAAAATATGGCGAATGTCATCATAACATAAGTATGTAAATTACAAGCTATAACATTACACACATATAAAAACTAAACACATATATATATTACACACAAGGCTAAAAACTAGCCGAATATAACATAATACAACCCTATTATTTACTCCGGGTTATCGCAAATAAACACACACACACACACACACACACACACACACACACACGCGCGCACACACACACACACGCACACGACACACACACACACACAACAACACACACACACA